GGCCAGAACTCAGCCCTCTCTCACTTGTCTGAGTCCCAAATGCATCCACCCATATGTCCATCACTCCTCTCAGCATCTTGATGGCTATGTCTTTTCTAAGACAAAGCACTAGACAGCAAGTCCCTGTGGAATCATTGGATCTCACTGTCTTTCTGTCAACCTCCAAATTCAATATTCTTACAGACTAATCAACAGAAGCAAAACTATATTATACTAGTTACTCCGACTGAATACTGATTATACTGTCATGGATCTCCAAAACTGATGGAGATGCTTGCCCATGCATCTTTCATACTTTGGCACATTTTACAGGTGCATTAACAGTTTTTCTTCCAAACTATTTTTTTTCAAAGATATTTCTATAATGGATAGTCTTGGAAGAGAGAAATGCCACCTCTGGGAAGAGGGAAAGTTTGGTATTGTGTCTAAGTTAGCCCAGGCTATCCTTAGCTCCTTAAGTAGTCAAAGATGACATGCACCTTCCTGTTCTTCCTGTCTTCATCTCTAGGATAGAACCTAAGCTTCAGGCATGTAGGAGAGGACTCTATCAGCTCAGCCTACTGCCCATTATAAAATAAACAAACTCTCTAAGTCATGCGAAGGTCAACTAAGGTCGAACAGATACAAGTACTGGGCATTGCTCATATCAACAACTCTGGAAATAACAACTTCATTTCTGACATAGGCATCTTGCATCATCCCAACAATATCCATAAAAGTATGCCATGTGTCTTCTGAGCTGAGAAGTAAACCAAATCCCACACCTGTCAGAGTTTTTCTCAGAAACATAAAATTCTTGTGCTAATCAACCATAAAAAGAGAAAACAATTGAGTAATGTGAGGCTGCTGCTCAATTTTTTAAAAATAGGGGTAGTCCAGACACCATTTATTAAGCATATGTATTAGTTATAATACTACACAGCAAGTTTTATTCTTAAGCAAATGTTATAATATATATATATGCACATATAATTCACTTGATTTTAAGAGCGAAATTATGAAGTAGGCCTAATTATCCACACTTAAAGATTTGAAAACAAAAGCGGGACCAAAAAAGTTTTAATAAAATTAAGTAATTCATATTGTTAACTAGTGGTAAAGCTAAAAATCTCTGGAATTTAACTTTTATTAGCCTCTAAATAAAGCAGAATTTAAAACAGTGCGAGCTATTTTGGCTGTAAACAGAATGTACTATATAGCATTATGCTTAATTTTGTATTTCTATGTTTGTTTTTCCTTCAAAAACGTAATACCTGCTAATTGAGACACTTTTATATTGCAAGCATGCTACTTAAAAATTTCATATGCGTCATCTTATTTTCATGATCTTTTCTACTGATCAAATTTGGTTTTAGACAACTTTGCACGTGTATGTAGTACATAGCAACCACGGTCACCTACATCCCTATCATCCTGTCAACTCCCCTCATCCCAAGACAAGTTTATTAAGATTGACCAGTACTTTGTGTGCCCCATAGGTTTGATGCTGTCGTCTGTAGCTCAGTGGGCTCAGCAACGGGTTAATGTTTCATGAGAATTATCTTATTGTCATGATTTTCTTTTTGAGACAGTGAGTGACCTACCCAGCTGGCTCAAGGTCACTATCATGCCTATCTCTTGAGTAAGGGAGTAGAGCTATACACCACTGTCCTCAACCCAACCTACCCCTTGAATGATTCCATACTTTAAATACTAGAGTGATATTACTATTCAATATTCAATATTCAATATTCACAGCAAACCAATTAGTTTCAGCCTGTGAAAAAGTTAATTTTGTATTTTGTGTATCCATAGACAAAAGTGCCACAAAAGCTACTGTTCATAAAATTCAGGTCAGAAAATAATGCTGTGGGTACATGCTTTTAAATCTAGACACTTAAGAAGATTAACTTCAGCTCAGGAAAGATAACAAAACTATCTTGTTAGGAGATGAATAGAAAACGAGCGAGCGAGGAAGAATGAGTAAAAAAGGGCAACATATTTCTAGAACTGATGTTCTTCAGAGTGAAGTCATTTTCAAAGTAAAGAAGGCAGAAAATACTTTCTAATTTTATGGAAGCAAGGAACGAATAACATATTAGGCTTTCTTGAGGAGTGTGTACGCATGTATTTGAAAGTATACCATACTACAAACAACCACTCACTGCTATGCTGTCCTTCTGTTTTCTATTTTGTTCTGAACCAACCACTCTTACACATAAATCACAGTGGGGAAGCAGCAACAATAACAACAACAAAACAATGTGTTAAAACCTGGAAACGGTGCTCAAAATGCACATAATTTGGGGTGGGGAGGTTATCTTAACTAAAGGAACTCTGGTATTTATTAATATTTAGTGGTGGAAACAATTGTTTTACTTAGCCCAGAAGAGCATTCTTGTTTGCTGATTACTTACTTATTTGAGTGTTTATATGGATGTGCAGGAGGGGTGTGTTCATGTATGTGCACCTGTGCGTGGAGGGCAGAGGCCAACATCATGTGTCTTTCCCAATCACTCTTTACTTTATTTTGAGACAGGGTCCCTGACTGAACCTGGAGTTTACTGAACTGGTAAGACATAAATGATGGGAATCTAACTCAGGTATGCATGCTTTTAAGACAACCATTTACTGACCGACTCTTCTCCATACACCCATATTATGGTTTTCAAAATAACAAGCTAGCTAGAGATGTAGCTAAATAGCAGGGTGCTTTCTTAGCATGCAAAGCCTCTGATTCAGTTCCTATCCCTGCAGAGGAGACAGGATGGGGTAATGGCACATACCTAAAATCCGAAGTACTTGTGAATTAGAGGGAGCAGGATCATAAATTCAAGGAAGCTAGGCTGAGTTATCTAGGCTTTCCTGTGAAAATTGGCAGCATGGGGGGCGGGGAGCAGTAGTTAAGAGAAAGAGAAGAGAAGAAGATGGGAGAGGAGGACATGAGGGAGCAGGAAGATTGAGTCAGGGTAAGAATAGAGAGCAAGAAAAGAGATACCATAATAGAGGGAGCCATTATACGTTTAAAAAGAAATCTGGCACTAGGGAAATGTCCAGAGATCTACAAGGATGACCCCAACTAACAATCTAAGCAATAGTGGAGAGGATACCTTAAATGCCCTTCCCCAATAATGAGATTGATGACTACCTTAAATGCCATCCTAGAGCCTTCATCCAGTAGCTGATAGAAGCAGAAGCAGACACTAACAGCTAAACACTGAGCAGAACTCCTGTAATCCAGTTGCAGAGAGGAGTGATAAACAAAGAAGTCAAGATCAGGCTGGAGAAACCCACAGAGACAGCTGACCTGAACAAGGGGGAGCTCATGGACTCCAGTCTGTTATCTGGGAAATCCGTGGGTGTTAGTCAGGACTGGGCAGTCTATGGGGCCTCTGGTAGTGGATTAGTATTTATCCGTAGTATATGAATGGACTTTGGGAGCCCATCCCACATAGAGGGATACTCTCTCAGCCTAGACACATGGGGGGAGGGCTTAGGTTCTGCTCCAAATGATATGACAGACTTTGAAGATTCCCCCATGGAAGGCCTCACCCTCCCTGGGGAGCAGAAAGGGGATGGGATAGGGGTTGGGGAGAGGACAGTGGAGGAGGGGAGGGAGAAGAAACTGGGATTGACATGTAAAACAAGCTTGCTTCAAATTTAAATAAAAAAAGAGAGAGAAACATAACAAAAAGATAATAAATAAATGAGCCAGAAACTATGCATTCAATCATATTGTGCTGTGAAACAACACATACAAAATAAGTCACTCACTATTATTTTAGAAATATATCTTAAATTTAAAGAAAAATTACTGACTTGTTTTTATTTTAATCCTGGGTTAGTGGAGAGGAGATTGCCCTCAGTATAGTGAGACATGCCTGCCAGGCTGACACTTGACTAGGAGGCAAAACCCCACAGAGAAGCCAGTGGGCATCAGTATGCCACATTTCCAGAATCTACCAAGGCATAAATTAATAAATACAGAAATGAAGCCATGCAGATCTAAATTTTAATTATGAAGTAAAACACTTCCTAGGGGCACAAGCATTGATGGGTCTAAATAAGAAATCTAAGGTACTTTCACCAATGAGTTCTAAGGTAGGCTATAATTTTATCTGTGAAGACTTATTTCATCTCTAGAGGCTCACTTCCCCTTCTGACATCTTTTCCACTCTGGGAACTGTGCAGGAACTGGAGGTAGTGATTTTTCTCCAAAATTCCTCATACAATGAAGATAGAACTTCACTTAGTGTCTTGAACACAGTGAGCAGGTTTCAGAGAGGGAAAACAAAATTTGGAGAACAGAATAGCTGTTCTAGCTTGCTTCCTGTTGCTATGATGAACCAACATGACCAAGAACAACTCTGGAAGGAGAAAGTTTGTTTTAGGGCACAGCTTGGAAGTCAGGGAAAGAACTTAAGGCAGAAACTACAGCATAGACCACGGAGGAATGCTGCCTACTACTGGCTTGCTATCCATGTTCAGATTGCTTTCTTATATAAACCAGACCTACCTAGCCCACCTGTGTTGGCACTAGCCAACAGTGGTCTGGACCACATCAAACACGGGGACAAAATGTCCCACAGTTTTGTCTACAATGTAGGCCAATCTGATGTAGATATTTTCTCAGTTAAACTTTCACCTTCCCAGATGACCCTGATCTGTGTCAAGCTGACAAAGCAAAACAAAAATAACTAGCACAATGACATAATCATAAGCCTTTTTAAAAAGTCAAGATATATATAACTAAGAATTACAACAACAATCATTTTTAAACTAAGGCAGAACTATTTTTTAAAAGAAACATATGACAAATAGAAACAGACTCCTTGGCAAGCCAGATAGGAAAACCAAAAGACGAAAGAACCAGTCATAATAGTATGAGATATTATCATTGGACAGTGGACTTGATAGAAGGGGGAGCTGGGGATGATGTCTTGAGGCTGTGTTATTTGTGATGTATTCAGAAGCCTTCAGATGTCAAACGTTCATGCATCAAGAAGAAAACTAAAGGTTACCTGGAAATCTTCTGATCATTTGACACAAGACTTCTTTTCTGCAAAGCTGAGACTGTATTTCTGGTAATGCATTTATCTGAAAAGAATGAAAAATATCCTAGTGAATTAAGAGTTCACAAATGATGAGGCCAAGAAGAGAGAGAGAAGGAGGGAGGAAGGGGGAGGGAGGGGAGGGAAGGAGGGGGGAAGAAAGGATGGAGGAGGGAAGAAGAGAGGGAGAGATTATTGAGGCATTATTGATTACTTTCAAAGTAATTAAACAGAGCATAGAGACACACAGGGAACAAAAATACAAAGAGAGAGAGAGAGAGAGAGAGAGAGAGAGAGAGAGAGAGAGAGAGAAAGTGCACGAGAGTGAGCTGTAGGTATCCATCTTCTGCTACATCCTCATCTAACTGTAAAACATCTACAAGTGGGCACTTAAATCATTAATGACAAAGTAGTTGATTTGATTACATACAATAGAAATTTGCCCTCAGAAATCTTCAAAATATTTGGGAATAACTTGGCAACTGTTTTTTATTTCAAAGCTATTCTATCTGCTAGAAATAAAAAACACATATTTATGCCAAATATAGTAACATAGCTTCATAGTTGCACATGGCAAAAATATCACTACAGGACTAGAAAGCCAAGTAACCTAAATTCCAGAGGCCACAGTGACTTGAACACTCAGATCTTCAGTGATAAGCCTTACATATGGTCTTTACTTCATAGTGAAGGTCATTGCTGTTTCACCCAGAACAGAACCATTCTATAGCAAGTTCAATTCTCTTGTCTTGTGACTTTACAGTTTGATTAACTAGCTACATGAACTACATCCCCAAACTAAAACCAAATGTGGCAAAACCTTGTTAAAGCTAGAAGGAGAGAGAGGGCGGGCGTGGGGATCTGTTTAAATCAGCTTGAAGATAAGATTTATTCTTGAGGCACTATCGATTACTTTCAAATTAATTCACTCTCTCACAATAAAGTATTTTAGTTTCTTCAACATGTTCTGATGGCAAGCCTAGATAAAACTCAACTGTGTTGGTCAAAATGGTAAGGATATATGGATGCAGTTCTAATTGTGCAGTTGATAGAATCCTAACCTTGAGCATGGTCTGCTTGTTTGTTCTCAATTTCTTCACTTGTACAATAAAGCAAGTAGAGTCTTGAGTTCCATTTTGATCAATTCTGTAATAAGATGTAGCTTTTTCCTAATGATTCATTTAAAGTGCTTTGACCCAGCCTGATGAAATCTTCCCTGATGCTGAGAATCATATTAACTTATACATTTATTCAGCAAACTCTCCATTGACTAAATATAACTTCAGGGAGAACAAGCTGAAGCCTCAGTCTAGTCCTGTAAGCAGACCAACTCTGGGCATGGACAGCATTCCTAAACACCATGTCCTGTGCTGGCTCCAGGGAAACCAACATCTACTGCGCTTACTTTTGTTCGCTCTAGAAGTCAAGGAAAGCTTCCGTGTCAGTGTAGAAAACGGTTCTAGAGTTGTCTACATTTCTCGAATTCAAAAGGTAATTTTAGAGTAAACAAAGACTTTCCTGACAACACCCTGGTTCACCAGTTTAGAATTATTCAGACGAGTTGGGGGGACAGGCAGAGGATCACAAAAGCATGGAAAAGCTGTAACAAGAGATTTCTGCTGTTTTAAGTTATACACGAGGCTTCATTCTGAGGTTATACAAAGCTTCAAAGGGCATTGAATGGAACTATCTTTCCCTATGTAAGGCAAAATCGCTCAGTTGCTAATGATTGAATAGAAATTTTAGCGAAGGAAGGATCCACAAATTGGACAAACACTAGCAAAGCAGCTTTGAAGATGATAGACGAATACAGGTCCCCTCTAACCTTCTCAGGGGCTATGAGCACATGAGCTGCTACTGTGGAAGCCTGGAGCTCCCGCTCTACCTTCCTCTCCTACCCAATCAGGAGGCGACAAAATCCTCCCCCCCCCCCCCGATAGATAGAAGGATTCATGCCTGAACAAGTGGCTCCCGAGGAGCTTCTTCAAGGCAGAGGATGCTAGCACAGATTTCAGAGAGTGGAGTGCTGTGTCACCTCAGAGTATGTCATCACATGAAGTACTAGATCAGAATGGCATCATGCAAAGACTACACTTCAGCAAAGGCAAATGAAGCCAAGGCAAGAAGGCAAGCACCCTTCTACACTTCTAGCTGCTATTTTCCTATCCCTCACCTAATGACTCCCCCTATCACTGTTTCCTCCAGAGCACGGCTTCAGCATTCACTCACTCTTGCAGCCAACTTAACTATGGTGGTATGTCACCATGGTGTCACGGGACACCCAAAACACCATCTCCCTTCAGCTCTGGATTTGAACACAAAACAGAGAAGGGAAACTGGCCAGCACTCCAGTACCATGCACCACAGTCATCGCAAACCCGTTATGTCCCATATTTGACTGTTGAAGCTAACGGCGCTCTCTCATAGTCTAGTGAATTTTGTCTTAATGAATATTACAAAATATAGAAGATTTGTATTATCCAGTGGAATACTGTCAAGGGAGTTTTATCTGGATTCTCTAACTTGTGTGATAAGTTCCTCCAGTAAAACATTGCAACAATGATTTTACTTTTTATTGTATTTTTATTTGTGCATATGTATTCATGTGTCTGCATGGGGAACAATGTACATACACATGTATGCGCATATATCTGGAGGCGGGAGAGCTAACTTGACTATATCATCTTTGGGAATGCCACTTACCTTCTTTGATATGAGGTATCTCATTGGCCAGTAGCTCACTGGTTAAGCTAGACAGGCTGGCAATGAGTCCCAGGGCTGACATTACAGGAGCTTGCCACTCTACCAGCCATTTGTATGTGGGAACTAGGAGTCAAGCTTGTTCTACTTACTGCTTACGTGCTTTGCTGATGAAATATTCCTCGGCCACTTATAAGCTTTATTGTTTAAAAGAGCAGTTTGGGGTTCACTATAAAATTGAGCAGAAGTCATAGAGGTTTCTCATATATTTTAGTACTCCCACACATGCATGTCCTCCACCAATGTCAATGTCATAAAGTAGATATTACATTTGCTATAGTTACTATACCATTAACAGCCGAAACTCATTTTATTAAGACTTTTACTCTGCTTGTGTGTGTATGCATATTAACATGAGTGAACACACATGCTATGTCTTATAAGAGGTTAAATGTCCTCTTTACATATATTTTTGCATATATGATATATACAGACACACATGAAACCCCTTTCGCAGGATTAGAAATTAAATGTAAAATGGTAATAATATTCACCACTGGAATTGTTCTTAAAGGCACAATTGGGAAGACAGAAATATGCATTTTAAAAAATTTCCATTCCCAAGTATACCTCCATAAACTTATTCTGTAGTGAACGTATCTAAATTATTTCTGTTGCACATTATCATGAGAAAGAGTGAAAGTCAGGTCTAGGGAGCAATTCCATAGATAACCAACCAGAGGTCAGGAGTCCTACACCTGTGTGATAGGCCAGGCATGTGTTGCAGGCTTCCTGTAGTCTCAGCACTGGGGAGGCAGAGACCAAGGATTTCTGGGACAAGATGAATACCTAAGTTACCTGGAATTGGAGAGCTCTGGGCTTAGTAGTGACCTTCCACATTACAAAACAGAGAGCAACCGAATGAGCTACCAGAGATCAACTTCAGGTCTCCACAGGCATGCACAGACACGTGTACACACATGTGCTCACACATGTTAACATTCATACATATACACATATGGGAAGTGTTTCTAAACTAAAACAATAAACCCTTGTAACATCACTAACTAAAAAGAATGGACATTTAAACTGGGAATGTTTAAACTGAATGAGAAGTTGTTGTCTTCCAAATATCACCACCATTCCATCAAATTAACAAGGAAATGCCTTGTATGCTCTGCAGTAAGAGCCTTGTCAGATGTGCTCAGTATTCCAGATGCTGAAGTCAGCATCTGGCTTTAGTGCCTGCTAATCCCACAAGCATTCAAAGCTAGGAATGAATCCATTTGCTTAAGGTGAGAAGAACTCCAGTTAGTGAAGGCAGGATTGCCTTACACAGTAGACCTTCCTTCATAGAATCACAAGCATAAATGGACTTTTAACTTTTAAATCCACATCATTATCCTCCTGGAGATTTACTCACTCATTCTGTTACAAATCTTACATTATTCTCACCAATCACTGCAAGTGATCTTAATCTGTTCACTCCAAAGTGATCCACAATTCTGCAACAACTCCAGTAATTGCGAAAGGAATTCTGCTTTGAAAATAGATAACAGTTCATAAGGTTTCATATCACTTATTCTTACCAAGTGGAGTTATCTACGTGTGCCATTGAGAATTCATGTATTCTTTAAGAATACTCATTGGGTTAGGCTGTCAGGATACTGTCTGAATACCTGATTAGAAAGTTTTTCTGAATGAGGAAATAGGCATTTGATGTCAGACTTCCTGAGTGTGAATTCTTATTATTTCTTTTATTATCTAAGAGGCCTTAGAAAACTATCTATCATCTATGTATGTATGTATGTATGTATCTACCTATCTATTTATCCATTTATCATCTCTCTGCTACTATCTCCTCTGCTGTAAAAAAAAGTACACCAATACATATGGAATTGCTCATCATCTTTTAGAGGAGCCAGATACAATTCCCAGTACCCACATGTTGGTTCTGTTACTCCAGTCCTAAAGGATCTGATTTCCTCTTCTTGCTTCTGCAGGTACTCCATGCACATGGTACACAGACTTCTATGCAGGCAAAACATGAATGTGATGGTTTGAAGGAGAGTGGCTCCCATAGGCTCATATTTTTGAATGCTCGGTCCCTCATCAGTGGACTGTTTGGGGAATTATTAGTAGGAGTGTCACTCCTTCTTGGAGGAGGTGTGCCATTGACTTTGATGCCTCAGAATCTCACTCCAGGTCTAGTCTCACTCTCCCTGTCTCCAACTTTTAGATCAGACGGAAGCTCTCAGCTACTGCTCCAGAACCATGCCTGCTGCCGGCCTGCTGCCTTGCGCTTTGCCATGACGATCATGGATGAACTCACCCTCCAAAACTGTG